AGACAAAATAAGTTTGGGAACCACTGCACTAAATGAATGTAATCTGTAGAACTGCGACATACAATTCGATTAGTAGATGTGATAAAAATATTTGGAATACTTCTAAAGTTGTTTATAAGATTTTAATTAGAATCCAATCAAAGTATAGGTGTCAACGTACGAGATTGGTAAGTAATTAGCGGCGGCGTAGCGGCGTGCGGCGGCGGATCAGAGCGCCGTGCCGGAAACAGGAAGAGGGCAATCAACATTCCTAAAAATATCACACATTTGGTGTTCATCCGGCGAGCATGGCGCGCTGCCGCAGGGCTGTCTTAAGATAATCTACTTACATCTTAATTTATCTAATATCTATGTAGTGTAAAATATTTTTTTTTACAAAATTAATATTTCTATGTCAGTGCTAGTACATCCATACTGTGTTTTTTTAATAATAAATGTCTGTACAATGTCTAGGTACTAGGGTTAAATTAAGATTTACCTGAAGTGTATGAAAAAGCTCTTTATTAATGATTAAAGGTTTCAACAAGTTATCTGTATATCGGTTACATTAGAAAGGATCACCCTTTATATAGTTTCTATCCTTAATTTCTGAATCCTATGAAAAGTTAAAAATAAAATAAACAATCGCAAGATAATAAAATTTAAAAACAAAACATGTAATACGGAAGCTTCTAATTCGAGTGATTGGAATATCGAAATAACGTAAACGAATTTATAAGATATTAAATAAGTATTTTAAGTGGCAACTTTATGTTATGGTCTGATTTTACGGTTAAAAGATATAAAATGTAATTACGTGTCCTCGTTATTGAAATCGTAAAAACGTACGCCCGTAGCCGAATTTAAAATTTAAATTTAGAATTTTTATAACGCGAACATTAATTTCGGCGCGACTTTCATTGAAAAAAGCAATTAAGAGGTTCGGTTAGTGCCCGCGCGTAGTTAAATAGAATCATTATAACACACATGTATCAAGATAAATTGCTAACCACGGTAATTTTAAATAGTTAATAAACAAATATCTATCATAACTATTTTTAAATTTTGCTATTATATTCCATTTTGAATTGATAGTTTTGTTTCTTTTTCAAACTGGCAACCCTAAATATTCCCGCCAGAATATCTAGGTAAGTCAGAAACTCCTTCCGTCTCGACGTCTTCGCTCTTAGTAAGATTAAATGAATGTTCTCATTAATTGTATTTGTATGCACCTTCATTTCTAACGTCCGTAATAAAGGGGCTTCCGCCAAAATAAACATCACGTTGAATATCATAGATAACTTTTGAGGATTACTAAAAGCTCGAGCGTTGTTTATTACTATAAATATTAATTACAATAAACATTTGTTGCAAGGCTTACGTTTGAAAGAAAAAACAACATTAGAAGACATGTCATGTCACAAACCGGGTTTGTGTCGTTCGGTTGAATGTATCATAACTAAATATGAGGATTACTCACCATCACACCATCGGTTGCAGGTGCCTGGTCAATAGTCAGTCAAGTCAATAGACGTCAAATCGTATGACACCGCTCAAGATAAACAAAATATTCTAAATATGTAACGAACATTCTGAAACGCGTATCGATAGATCAAGAGATCCTGCGCACTAATCTTAAAAATGCTACCAACTCGAAAAGCACCAGCCACAGACGAGGTTTTTCAAACTACCCACTTTTGTGGTTGCATTCCACAACATCATAGATAGCTTTTCAAATTGCGAATGGAATATTTAGTAGTAGGTAATACTTCGTTTATGTTATTAATTGCTGTAACTGACGTACTGAGGGCGTAAAGGCTTTTGCAGAATATCAGTGTTTTTGCCCCTTAGGGGTAATAAACATACAGCAAAGGCCCTATCTGTTCTGCATTGCAACGTTTAATGGTATTATAATTTCTTTGATTATTTCTTTTTGACTCTGTTACAAGTGTTGTAATGTTTTTGAACGGATTAAATGTCTTGTTATTATTATTATTATATAGTCAATCGTCCGGCTAGTTAAGTTGTAGACAAGGGCTATTGGGGAAAACCGGCAGGCATATTCATGATTCTATATTGTTGGGGTATTTTTAAAGTTGTATTCAAAACAAGCTTTACTTGCTGGAATATATTTGTGAAGGAATGTATCGATATTTATTGTAATGGCATCGGCTTATCGATTATGATTGGGCGTGGGGCGCGAGTCGCGAGCGTATTAGGATTCGACTCGTGGCCGGCTAGTGGTTGCCGTCGCACAATTAGATAATTTCTATTATTTATATGCGGAGGCGAGGCGCGGCGCGCATCGAAACGACGCGGCTTCCTTCGCCGCTGTACATACGTAGAAATCCGACGGCCGGTTCGCGCTAAACAGGATGCGCGGCACTCATCATTTAATTCACGAAAAGTTCCTGTCGCGGTCGCTTTTCCTGCAGGTGACGTCTATAGCACGCTGCTTTTCATTTCCTTTATGGTAATATTGATAAACGTGTCAGCGTACTAATGGGACGCAAACGATATCGATACAAGCGAGAGCTTCGCATCGTCTTCACTTAACACGCGAATGGTCCTACCATTTTATTTTGACTTTTAGTGCAAATAGTTAATAAGTTTTTTTCATACTAAATCAACAAATGGATAAAAAAACAAAACAGGTATGGAGTATTAAAAATAACAAAGTGCCTTTCCGTATATGGTATTAAAAAAAACGCCTATATTTTCATGAATTACAATGTTGGCTGTGCGCCCATAACTTGAAATGCATTCACAAGCACATCATTGTGTTGTTAGGTAACGCGAATGTCGATACAACTGGGCCTTTGCCAAACTTGTATGGAATTGCTCTCTTGTCTTTGGAGCCATACTGTCTGACAGTGAAGATATTTATAGCTATTTAAAGCTATAAAGTATTTAAACCAAGAATAGTAAACATCATTTTATCTAAATACCAGTACCCAATTTAAATTAAAAAGCTGCAATAATTGACAGAAAAAAGTTTTTTTCTTATATCTAGATTTTCTAATTCGATAGTACTTTAATATGGTTTAAAACATGGAAAGTGCTAACTAAGAGCTAGTGATTTTTTATTAACTTGTAGATTTGATATGGGCATTTAAAGAATATAACAATCTGTGTGTTTAAAATGCATAGAAGTTGTGGATTAAATCCTATAAATGCAATATCACGATACTTAGACATAAAACAGCCTTACTCTGGAAGTAGCTATATGAAGATCGCCGTCGAAGAATTTGGTCTCAATCACAACATTGCCACTGAAAATTAACAGAAAAAAGGTTTCCTAAAAGAGCAATATGTATGTAAAATATACGCCATCTTTTGACACAATTCTGAATTGTCTACTATTGAAAAAATAAGTATTTACTGTTAACTCATATTTTCAATAGACGGCGCTGTGCTCCAATTTTATCAGAGTAAATTACTGCCAAAAACTAACAAAAAAAATCGAATACCCGTATCTTGCAAAAGTAGTAGTTAGTAACCAGTTATTTATCATAAATACTTTATACATGCGGGTTAAGAGTTTAACCTGAAACCTGTGACTACAAAATACTCACTTCAACACGTTGGCTGGCATCATTTGTGACTCCGGTGCAGATCCAATAATTGATTGCCATGTGTTGGTTGAGTTTGCTATAACATAGCCAAAATCAAAGAACCATTCTTCAAGACATCTCCCTTTGAAGAGCACTTTCTGAAATGTTCATTTGTTTTGTTAGAAAACATTTAAAATATTATTTTAAAGGCATGATGTAGGAATAATCAATAAATAAATAGTTTTTCCATTTCTGAAACACCTGTAACCCCCAAAAACAAATATTATCCAACTTATTACCTTAAAAAAACCCAATTAAAAATGTTTTTGTAGAATTCTCCCAGTAATGCAAACTCATTTGCTCAATTCAATTGAGCTACAACTTTAATTAAACATTTATTTCAATAAAATCTGACTAATATCATAAATGCCAATGTTTAGATGAATGGATGGATGTTTGTTTAAAGGTATCTCCGGAACCGCGCAACGGATCTTAATTAAATTTTACAGCAATGTAGAACATAATCTAGAACACATAGGCTACTCTCATTAAGTTTTTTTTAATTTCGGGCATACATAGTCACAAGCAACAGCTAGTATCAGATATACCTGTTCTAGACGAAACCTATCCATTGATTCAATGGAACTGAAGTTCATCTCTCGGGAGACAACGCGACATTTCAGTATTCTCTTGGGCACCCTCGCTTCATGTTCTACATCAGGGTTGGACATGTCTTCATTATGTTGCCATAATATTTTGCCTGTAAATTGTACAAGAAAATCTTACAATTCTTTTTTATGTGATGGCAATAGGCCAGACATTTTACTCATTATATGTAACTTGAATCTCTAAATCTTTTATCTCCTTTTGATGTTTAGTTTTAAAACAATTTATTTATTTTATTTATTTATTAACTCTTAATGCTATCATACATAATACATAAAAAAAGACAATTAATTAATTAATAATTATATTATAATAATAAACATGACAGTTGTAACATCAGAGTTTTTATATAAAAATTACCTGTGTCTGCATCACGGAGATTCATCCAATTTCTGTTGTAAATTTGATGTAAGGCAAACAAAAACATAAAATAAACTCTCACAAGTATAGCAAGAAACCTATAAGTAAGAATCATTGTCCAGTCTTGACATTTAAAGTTCATTAGCCGGAAACTCAGGTTGAAGAAAAATCTCTATAAGTGAGAAAAATATTGCAGCCCCTTCGAATCTCCAGTTGTAACTGTATAAAGCACATAGCAGGCATCTTTTCTAATACGAAATAGTTTAAATTTTTTAAAAAATTCTACCAAACATGATGAGATATTTCCATGATAAAAGCAACCAAAGAAAAGTAATTTGTGTGTGTGTCAAATAGATGTGTTTCACGTGTGAAATATATGTTTCATGAGTGTATTATATATATTGTATTGTATTATATTAATTGTATAAACGAAACGCACTCAAATAATCATAAGTGAATTAAATCTATAATGGAGGTAGGGGAAAAATTGGTTTTAAACATATTGATAAAAACTAACTTCTTAAAAAGTAATTATCTTGAAATAACAAATCAAGTTCTTTAGTTAATTCTTTTGGTATCAACGACTTCATTAAAATAAAGTATAAAATCGGTATAAATTAAAGGATACATCTGAAAGCCTCTTAGGATCGTATCCACTCGATCTTGTCTATTTTCTTCGACAGATAGAACTTCCGTCATTATTGAAAGAGTTTAAATTACCACTAAAAATTTTAATTTATCTCTAAAATTGCAATGAAACTTTAAAATGGACTATTTATAATAAAAACTCGGTACTCTGGCAGAAATAAAAATACCACAACAAAAAACGTCATCAGCAAGCAATGTTGCATCATTTCATATTAATGCAATGCGCAAAGAATAAAATCATTCATGTAAATGTAAACGAGATATTTGGTGAATGCCTTGGTTTCCTTTAATCTACCAATTAAGCGTATGTTAAATCGATTAAGTATACATATTATAAATTAAAAATTGGTATCTATTAATACTTTCTACAAAATAAATTTCTACTCTACCTACGATATCTTACTGCTTTTCGCTTTTCCAATTTTTCCTCTTTGGTACAATGTGACAGTAAAATTGTTATTTTTTGGCAATTTTATTATTTAAATTAATATCAAATATCCGAAATGTATAAAGGATTATCGAGAATTCTGTCCTGTTACTGCTCAGAGAAAATTCCACAATATGTATCTCCCGTTTTTACCTCAGTTTTAACGAAACGTAAAGGACACTTAGGATATTTAGGTTATGTTTTCAAAAGGACGAAAAAACACGATAAGGGTGGTCTTTCGACATTGTTTACCCCGGTACCAGTGAAACCAAATCCAGATGACATAAACGTAGGAGAAGAATTCACAGGAAGGCTTAAGAAACAAGATTTGCTGAAAATTCTCAATAAATTCTACCAAAAGCCAGAAATTAGATCGCTTGCTTCAGAAAATGGTTTGGATGACCAATTATTGCATCAGGCCTTTTTATCATTTAGAAGGCATTGCTTAGAACATGATTTGCCTCCAGATATACATATAATTATTAGCGATATATTGCATGGTAAGTAATTCATGTTACATAAAGTACATTACCTCATTCATAACTATAACAAATATCTATTAATTAATTAAATTTAGTAATTTCTTAGGATTCTAAAAGTTCAGTTAATTGTGTGTGTGACTGTGTATGTGTGTTAATAATTAATTTAATTCAAGGTGCGGGACATGTAGATGACTTATTTCCATACTTTCTAAGACATGCTAGATTAGCATTTCCACATTTGGACTGCTTAGATGATTTAAAAAAAATATCCGACTTAAGAACACCAGCTAATTGGTAAGAATTAATCATTACACCTTATTTTAATATGATAAATTAATTCCAATAAGATTAAATATTTTTAAATTGATAGGAGTTTATTATAATCTATATTAAATACATGTACACTTATATCTTCAGGTATCCTCAGGCTCGTCATTTGAATAGAAAAATAGTATTTCATGCGGGACCTACAAATTCTGGCAAAACATATCATGCTTTGGAGAGATTTCTTACAGCAAAATCAGGAGTGTATTGTGGACCATTGAAACTATTAGCAACAGAAATATATCACAAATCCAATAGTAAAGTAAGATTTTTATCACTCAAATTTATTTCTCATTAATTTATTTAACTTGTCAACATTTTAATTAAAATAATATAATATTATTTAAATTTGTCTATAACTTAATAGTTTTAATTTTGTAAAACTAAAGTCTTATCAGAATACTGAATGTTTGTGTTTTCTTAGTAAACATAGTTATAAAAAGTTGTAAAATTAGGCATCATAAATTTTTTTATATGAAAAATATCAAGGTCTTACCACATTGTGGAAAAACTGTAGTACTGTGTTGAACCTGAATAAGTAAAAAATCTTTTGAAGCAAGACTCATTGTCCGGTCTTAATGCACAACTTCCTTATGCGAGAAACTCTGGTTAAAGATAAACATCTATAGGTGAAAAATAATGGTCTCTTGGACTCTTAGTTACTCAGGTTTGACTGTATTTAACAGACATCATATTTAGATCTTGAATAAAAATAATGTTATTTCAGGGTACACCATGTGATTTAATTACCGGGGAGGAAAGGCGGCATGCAACACAATATCAGACACTAACAGAAAATATTGAAACTGATAATAGTACAGAGACTGAAAATTATTTATTAAGTGAACCAGAACTAACACCATCTAGTCATGTTGCCTGTACTGTTGAGATGACATCACTAAATGACACATGTAAGATATACTTAATTAACTAACTTTTATGTTAATTACTATACCACAACTAGCTGTTAGCGCGGAATTAAAAAAAAATATAATTAGTAGTCTGTAGCATTGCATCTGCGGTTCCACTGGTATTACAGATGTCCACAGCACTCAATGAATTGCCGCTTGTTTGCCCAATTATTTTATAAAAAAAGTGTCTTTAGGCAATATTCTCTATAAATCTATGCCGAATTTCAGTGTGATTCATGCAGCTTTCTGGAGATGACTTCTAACAAAAATCCAAACATTTGCATTTATAATATTAGTTTAATGTACTAAAATTGATTAATCTTGTTTTTATTTTCTTGTTCCATTTTGTGGATTTTACAGATGAAGTGGCGATTATTGATGAAATACAGATGATAGGAGATAGGGGTAGAGGTTGGGCTTGGACTAGAGCTGTTTTAGGTAAAGTATTATAAGGGTTTAAAAAAAACTTTGAAGTTAATGTTGTAAATGTAACTTTTTTTATAATTGTGGTAATAATTCATTTCTTATAATGTAATTGTAGGATTGCAAGCAGATGAAATTCATTTGTGTGGTGAAGCCGGGGCAATAAATCTTATTGAAGAAATTTGCTACACTACTGGGGAAGAAATAGAGGTACTATTTACTTATAAGTATCATTATATACTTTTAAAATGGATGTACAGTAAGAGTCCAAGGGCATGGCAATATTTTTCTTATTTATGAAGGATGTCTGACGGGACCTGACAATGACTCTCAGTTAAAGAGGTTTCTCACTTATCGAGGTTGACTGAGGTTCATGAAGTTTGTAATTGTGGGTGTTTATTCCTAAAACACTACAAAATGTTGTCTACTTGATAATTTTTTTTTACATTTTCAGGTGCGTACATACAAAAGGCTAACGGAATTGAAAGTGGAGGACAGTGCGCTAGGATCACTAGACAATGTACGTCCCGGAGACTGTATAGTATGCTTCAATAAGAACGATATATACAGTGTTAGCAGAGCCATTGAACAGAGGTCAGTCCTGTGAGGCAGGTATCCAATATTTATAACATCATAAATCATACATGTAAGGCAATGTAAACATCATGAGCGTCGGTGGCTCAAGCGTTAAGCACTTGACTTGCAATCTGCAGGTCCTGGGTTTGAATCCCGCCATGTAACAATGTGGTTTTTCGATTTCCGATACATATGTATATTTATCCCATGTTCTTACGGCGAAGAAAAACATCGTGATGCACATATCTGCGAAGAAATTCAAATATATGTGTGAAGGCAGCCCGCACTGGGCCAGTGTGGTTGACTATGGCCTAGGTACCCCTAACTTTAGGTAGGGCTCCGAGCTCCTCGGTGGAGTTGTATAATGAGATGATGATGAAAGTATAACGTTTGTGTATTCATTTGACTGAGTGTGTTGACACTCAGACTAAAGGTTATTATGACCATTCTTTAATATAGATTAATTAACCTTTAGTTTCTCAGACTAAAATCTCTGTATAAAACATATTGTCACCCCTGTCATTATCTTTGACAAAATAGGGATAGCAATATGTTTTAAATTGGGATATTGGTCTCAGAAAGTCATGATTAGTATGTGATATCTGCTCTTAAGATGTTAAGAATCAATTTCTCGTAAGGTTTTTTTATTTGTAAAAAAATGTATATGTATTTCTTGTATGTTACAGGGGTCATGAAGTAGCAGTAATATACGGCAGTTTGCCTCCCGGTACTAAACTAGCGCAGGCTAATAAGTTCAATGACCCGGATAGTTCCTGTAAAGTTATGGTTGCTACAGATGCTATTGGTCTTGGCATTAATTTGTAAGTCAAATTTTAGTACAAAATCAATAATATTAGTATGTGGAGTGGTAAATGGACTAGGAAGATATCTTGCATAGGATTTTTTCTCTGTAAATTTGGAATGCCAGCGCCACCTACTTGTATGACCTACCACCTAGATGTATGTGTGTGCAATTAGAACCAGTGTTCTAATTGCACACACATACATCTTAAATCATAGTAGAATTTTATTAAAAAAAAATATGTTAAAACCAATTCGTTATATATGATTATATATTTAATATTCATTTATTTATTTATAGGAGCATACGTCGGATAATCTTCTATTCTCTAATAAAACCCGTGGTAAATGAAGACGGTGACAAAGAAATGGACATCATCAGTATATCACAAGCTTTGCAAATTGCAGGTACTTTTTTTTTACTTCCAAATAAATATTTAATATCATTATATCCCAACAGTCAACTTCCAAAAGCGAAAAACTCCGGATAGAGAGATTTATATAAGCGAGATAAATATTGTGGTCCCTTGACCTCTGACTAATCGGTTCTTTTCTCAGCTTTTAAGTTGACACATCAGGAAGAGAAGATCTCTTGTTGCCGATGTGCCAAATCAAAATTATCACTGTTGGTACTTTTCAGGTAGAGCTGGCAGATACGGCAGCGCGTGGGAGACAGGATATGTGACTACATACAGACCGGAAGATCTAGCAACACTGAAAACACTGCTGTCCAAACCCCCGGACCCTGTGACACAAGCCGGGTTACATCCAACTGCGGAACAGATGGAGTTGTACGCTTATCATCTACCTCATGCAAGTCTTAGTAGTTTAATGGTATGTTAATATTTTAATTAAAACATATCATTTACTAGTGGTCGCCCGCGACTCCGTCCGCGCGGAATAAAAAAGACATACTTAGTTATGTTCTTCCAGGCTAAGTTCTTTATGTATGCTAAATTTCATCAAGATCCGTTCAGCCGTTCTGGAGATACCTTCAAACAAACATCCATCCATCTAAATATTCGCAATTATAATATGTATTAGGAAGATTACTAGTGTTTTTTTTATAGTTTCTTGATGAACAGCAACAGTAAGGTTGCAAATGTTTTGACAGTTCATATGTTGGAAATGCTTAGTTTTTACTATTTTTCTGTAATTAAAATAGTTAAAAAATTTAAATAATCTTACTAATATTATAAATAAGAAAGTGTAGCTTTAGGGATAGATGTTTGTTAGAAGGTATCTCAAGAAAAGCTAAATGGATCTCGCTGAACTTTACCAGAGATGTAGAACATGGTCTGAAATAACACATATAACAATCAAGCAGGCGAAGTGAAGGGCGACAGCTAGTTTGACATATTTTAGGTATGTTGTCTTGCAGGATATCTTCGTGCACTTATGCACAGTGGACGACTCCCTGTACTTCATGTGCAACACGGAGGCATTCAAGTTCCTGGCGGAGATGATCCAGCACGTGCCGCTGCCGCTGCGCGCGCGCTACGTCTTCTGCTGCGCGCCCATCAACAACAAGCTGCCCTTCGTCTGCGCCACATTCCTCAAGGTCAATATTACATTTCCCATCGCATCTTACTTATAATATATATGCAAATGTTTGGATGGATGGATGTATATTACTACGTATCTCCGGAACGGCTGGATAGAACTCGCTGAAATTTAGCATAGACGTAGAGCATAGTCTGGAAGAACATATAGCTAGAACTATTTTTTTTTTAATCCGCGCGTACGGAGTCCTAAACGAGAGCTTGTTAATAATCAATTTATTGTATTTATACTATAGATGGTCCGTCAATACAGTCGTAATGAGCCAATCACAAAGAACTGGCTGAGCAATGCAGTGGACTGGCCCGTACCATCACCAAAAACAATTATGGACCTCGTCCATTTGGAGGCAGTCTTTGATGTACTGGAACTTTATTTATGGCTGAGGTAACTACAAGTGAATACATATTATAATCTAGTAAATTTGATATTTAAAAGAATTATAAGCTATGATAAATATAGTATTTCTTTAATTTTTATGCTAAGTTTAGCAAAATTCTACTTTATAACTTGATTATCGTGATAAAGAAGATTAGTAGCTCCATCTATTGATTTGTTTTAACAAGCTTTATCATCATATTTTATAAATTGGCTTTACTTTATTATAAAATTTTCTCGATATTTGATATTTTCTGTAATTCTTTCCAAAATGGCATTTGTTTACAAAAATTTGATTTGAAACAATGAATAGCTTTTTAATAATATGTATAAGGAATCGATATATTTTTATTATATTTAACTAAAATAGAAATTTATTTCCACAGTTATCGATTCCCGGACATGTTCCCCGATGTCAAATTAGTTCGTGATATGGAAGCTGAATTAGATTCTATAATACAACAAGGAATCTTCCAAATAACAAGGTATTTATATAAAATATTATACATTTAGTAAGAAAAACGGATTATTGTTTTGATATTATATAATTTTATTTATTTCTAGGTTATTAAGAAATTCAGAACAAATATTAAAAGACGGTCAGTCAAGTGAAGAGTCTTACGGACGAGGCAAAAAATCAATGAGAATGGGACATTTGCAAACAAAGGGAGATGAATCCAAAGGAAAACTGTCTGAAATGCTAGTGGCTAAGGTAATTTTGTAAACAAAAATATTTATAAGAAATACAAATTTATTTAAAAAAAAAGGGTCTTGACAGACGGACGGACAACAAAGTGATCCTATAAGAGTTCCGTTTTTTTCCTGAGGTACGGAACCCTAAAAAATACGACCCAAAGGCGAAACCAATAAATAATATATATCTTATCCATGTAATTTGGTTCAATTAAAAATCAAGGAAAGTTTTAATTTCGATTTTTTACTTTTCAAATACAAAAATATAGCAATAAATATAGGCAATGTCACCCGGGATTGTGTAGCATCGTAGTCAAAGAATTTTTCAAATTAGTTCAATGGTTTCGATTCTTTTTTTCATGCAATCAAACAGTCAAATCGTTCCTATTTTAAATTAATATAGATATTTATGCAATCTGAGTGATGTTATATCATAAAAAAAGTTCTTGAATGTTTTTTTTAGGGTCTGATCACACCGCAAATGTTGAAGAAACTTCAACAAGAACTGTCCACAGACAACACGGAGCGCGGCAGAAAGAAAACTAATACAAGAAATAGAAGAAAATAATAAAATTGTACCATAGTTGTTGTTCATTTGTAATATAAAATCATAAAGTATAATAAAAAATTATATAGATAATAAATTTTTCTTTTAATCTCACTTATATTATAAATGCGAAAGTTTAGATGGATGGATGGATAGAGGGATGGATGTTTGAAAGTATCTCCAGCATGGATCTCGCAGGAATTTGACATAGATGTAGAACATAGCCTGGAAGAACATATAGGTTACTTATTTTGTTTTTAATTCCGCTCGGACGAGGACGGGGGCGATAATTAGTATTTAATAAACCTTTACAAAGTGTTGATATATGAATGAATTCGGTCAATATATCATTTGTCTAGACGAATTACAAAAGGGCGGTTTTCTAGTTTCTTCGGTGACATTATCTTGTTGGTAAGTGTAAATAAATATATCAATGTATTATGAAATTACTATTTTATCAAAGTAACAATTTGTTCGTTAATTATTCAGTTATCTATTCAAAAGAAACTCTGATAAATTTTGAACTTTTGACATCTCGTAATATTTATCTATTCAAGAGGGTAGTTAGTATTAATATTGTTACTATCATAGCAACTTGTTTATAAGTGATTTCAAAATGGGTGCTGTGAAATTAAGTTGTTTGCTTTCATTTCTTTTATTTACACAAACTTCTAAATTAATCAACGGTAGTAATTTATTTACTATGATTTTATCAATAAATGTGTAAATTATTTAGTGTTTAAACTGATATAAAAACGGCTAAACACTCACGTATATTCGTTCGGTGGCGGCACCGATTTGTTTCGAGCCCATCGGGGGCCCTTCATCAGGATGAGTGGTACTGGTATTAAACTAGTCGGTGCCGCCACCGGACGAATATACTTGAGTGTTTATCCGTTTTTATATCAGTTTATTATAATGTCTCACGAAAGTTTAAAAAATCTATTTAGTGTTTGTTTTATATAGGTTTCAGAATATTTGATAACGATGGTGTTCAAAATATATTGGTTTTTAAAAATGAACCTGTACCGATTCAGTGCCAGGCGGATATGCCGATATCTTATTGTGGATTTGTTCATCCAAGTGGGAAAAGATTCTCGTAAGTATATTTGCTATTTACTATTATAGCCATTATCTGTAATTTGTTTTGAGATGGATTTAATTTGTTCGTTGACTTTCATTCTTGTAGAGAATCTGTCTCTGCCAATTTACTCAGCAAGTTAGATCTAGACTAGATACGAGGTCAACAAGCGGTCACTGACACTAACATCTTATTATGGGTTTCTGAGACCGTTTGAAACATAGTTATTTTTGTTTTATTAAAGATAATGACAGGGATGACGATATGTTTTATACAAAGATTTTGGATTCAGAAACTCACGGTTAGTTTCACTCCAACTACTTCATACGTGTAGTAGTTTCCAAACAATTTATGATGGGTATTTTATAATGTTAGTTTATTTAGATGCATGCAACGATTGTTTGATTCAGGAATATCAGTAATTTTTTGACTAGGAGCATTTAAAAGAGTTTCGTTATATTTTAGTCAACGGTTGACAACGCTTAAAGGACAAACATATTTTTTTAGATCAAGTTCTGTCACTAACGCTAAATGCGAAGTGAAGATTAACGCAAGCGACGCGGATGTGGGAGAATGGAAGTGTCATATTGGTATCCAGTCAGTGAGGGTCGAGATGATGAAGAAGATCGAAGTGCGGGTGGTAGGGGAAGTGGCGGCTGTCCAGGCTAACGTGACCTCTCTGCATGGAAAGCCCGTCACACTAGCCTGTGTCACCACCAAGGGTCTGGTACCATTGAGTTACTGCCGCTTTGAACCACCTAATGGTAGTCCGTTTAGTATTGATGCATCTGTTAATGCTACTAAGTAAGCACTTAATATAGTATAATGTTTTGTTAAGCAGTTAGATGAGTTACATTCAGAGTTAGGGTTTGGGACTGTTTGATCTGACTTTAATAAACTAAAGTTTTTTTTAATTTTAAGCATTTTTCTCTTAATTTTCCAGTCCTATATTGAATAAGTACTATTTCCCTGCTAACAAGAGCTTGGACCGTGGGGACTGCGCTGTAACTATACGTAAAGTAAGGTACGAGGATGTGGGGCAGTGGACTTGCGGCGCGGGCTTCGATGATGGCCAGGAACATATCGCTCAAATAATTGTTGAGGTGGAAGGTAATACAACCAAGTTCATCATCATCACCATCATAAAATCGTCATGATTTTAATTTTTGTTAAATGTCATCAATAATCCAACAGAGAAATAAAAAAATATTAACCAAGTTAATCATCGGTAATGACAGACAACAAACAGATGTCTATGGGAAGCGTAATTTCGCTATTTCGGCGAATTCAGGTGGCCGCTTCCTCATTTGTCTATTAAAAAAAAAGTTGTTGCACGAATAACACGCTTGTTCGATACGAAATGGAAGTGTTCATGACGACAAACTCTACTCTTCTTCCCACCCTTTTCACGGTTCACTTATCGTGGGTTTCTAACCCCAAAATCTCCGTTTAAAACATGTTCTTATCTCTGTTTTGTCAAAGATGACGAATCTATTTTATACAGAGGTTTTTGCGTCAGAAACCCACGATTAAACGGTTACCAATTGTAATTTCTTTGACGCAGGACTTTATACAATGTCAACAGCATCGGTAACCGGCATCACGCTTGGAGGTATCCTGGTAGCTGGGATAATCGGAATTTTAGGGTACGTCGCGTGGAAGAGACGTTGGGTTTTGGGTAGTCGTCGTGAGGAAGTCGAGGAGATAGAGGTACAGGAGATGGGACAACAGAACCCTGAAGCTACTGCTCAAAGAAGAGTACCAGTAATAACTGTACAGTCTCCCTCTACCACGGGAAGATCAGAGTCTACATCTCCATAAGCTAAGGTAACCGTTGATAAAATAAAAAACAATGTCTAAATGGAAGTGTTACCATAAGAGAATATCAATGTAATGTTGCATGTCACTTTAAATAACATTACTTTTTCTTTTGAGTACTTGCAGTACCATCCATTATTAGTTTTCAATGATTGTTGGTTAATTAGTACTTTTGTAATATTTAAATCAGGTAAGTCCTGAGATTAGTTTGTTCATAGAAAAATATACAACTATTATTATATAATTACCGTATAATAGGTAAAATTAGCCTTTGTAGTGTCAGAAAAGAAGTTCCTTCACCTATGTGTTACTATACTTCCCTAGTTCTTTCTACACAAATCATCCCGGTGATGAGAGGAATAAATAATTTAAGTGGTCAATTTATATTAATAATGTAATATAAGGCAAGTGTTATAGTGTAAGATAAATCAAGAATTACTCTGTCAGTGCAGAGAAAAAGGGTCTTGACAGACAGATCGACAACAAAGTGATCCTATAAGGGTTCCGTTTTTTTCCTTTCAATGTACAGAACCCTATAAAGTAGCTTATAATATGCCCTGCATTACCTTGTTAGAGTTCCGTCAAAATTAGTTCAGCCATTTCAGAAAATATTTACAAAATGGTTTTGTGAAACATATTGGAACTTGTTCTTGCTATAGCAGTTCAAACTGCACTATAGCTAATATTTTGTTTGGAATGAAACTGTAAATTGTCTTTATTCTATTTATTGTTAAATTATAAAAAAAAAAACTAAATAATTTTTAATTAGATTGACTTTTATTTTATCCTAAAAATACTAACTATTTAAATTAAATATTTAAAGATGTTTTTCACATTATAAGACTTCAAGTTTAAAATTATTTAAAAATTCAGATTTATTACTAAGATTACCTTGATGTAAGAAGTAATATTATACATACTACAAACTTATTTCTTAATTCTTCCAAATCATTCTTTATTTTACCTTAAGTAATATAAATTTTATACCATAGGATACTCTTTAATATCGTAATATTTAGTGACAAGAAACATATTTTAACTGTGGTAGAACCCGTTTAAACATCTTCGCACGAATTGGCCCGGCTCATCCAGTGAAATACCACGACCACACAGAAGACAGGCGTGAAGTGGAAGCAATTCCGCGTTTCATCTGATAAGTGTGCGTCCCTGAGGCCTAATTTAGTCCTCTTTCCTATCCCACCTTTTTTCTTATAAGGAAAGGACAGGAACTGGAAGTGGACTCTCCGGATGAGAGGATGCATGGAAAGGGAATATATTTTCTTTCTGAGCATCCTATTCTCCGTCAGTCTATGGGCAATGGTCACTTCCCTATATCAGCGATTTCAGGTGGCCGCTCGCTTATTTGCCACCTTATGATATTAAAAAAATATGTTGAACCTAGCAGAAAACTGTACTCATTTATCTATAAAAATCTTATCAATCATACAAATAGACATTGTTTATTTACAGGATTATTTAAAATTATACTAAATAAAATATGCCCTTTTTATACTACGGAAAATTGTAAATAGCGTACCTTAATTTTGACTGCTTCAATATTAAAAAATGGTGTTTTAAATTATCACAAAATCTATTTAATAACTGGGATGATTCAACATGACAGCCATCCTCTCCATATTTACAGCATACACTGAATGACATGCAATAATATTCTTATGTGTTAGCAAAGTATGGTATAATTCATCCAGTGTAAGCCTATCTTCATTATGCTGGGAGTTGGATGAACTGTAACAAAAACACAAAAAATATTTTAATATATGAAAAGGATGATTTTAATGTAAAATAAGTTGTAAGTTTACTATGTTAATTTTTTTAAGCCATGCATATAGTGCAATGCATAGAGTCTTACCTGCAAGCAATTTCAAGAACAGCTGACTGTTCAACTTCATCAATAGTTGGTGGACAACGTGGACCAAGGACATCATTGCTATCATCCAATCCTACTCTGCCTTCACTCTGAGGATCATATAGTTTATTTGAATTACGAAGCCACATATTAGGCATATCACCACCGATATCATATTTGAAGTGTTTATTCCGTGTCTTATAGCCTTTTCGTTGGGAGATAACTGCACTTATTATGTTCTTGAGGAAATGTTGTACAGCAACTACAATCAGATCTGCAGCTTCATCGTCAGCACCTTCTAAACCAAGTTCCCACGCTGCTAGCATGAACCGTCCGACAACTAATGCATGGTCAGGCAAGAATATTTCCTGCAAAATAAGTTTTGGTAAATATTGGATTTGGGACAGATTGCCAATAAGTACAATTATAATGTTACAAAATGGATGGCGATAGCAACTATTATAACATATAAATAAAATTAAAAAGGTAATAATTTACTTGTGTTGCATATTTGACCCCATCGCTTCCCGCGCCGGGTGGAGAGTTTGAAGGCAAATACTCTAATAAGTCCACTGGTTCGAAATTGGATCTTTCTGATGTACGAGAATTTCTCTTATGGCGTCTACTGTTCCGATGCTGTGAGTTCGCTTTTTCTTGCGCTATGGTCATTGAAGTTTCCGCTAAACCTTCCACCTTATTAAGAAGTGCAAGTAGAAATTCGTTATGGTAATGCACTTGGTCTATAGTCAATAACGCGCGTGCTTCAGCGTCAAATTCTTCTTTAGTTAGTTTCATGCGAAACCATTGTTTCATGTGGTTGAAATATTTGGTAGATTTTTCACCTAACACTTCGTTTAATTTTCGCCTTGAAACGTTCAAGGCTTCTGATGCCATTATATATGTTTATTACAATTATATTTCGTATTACTTTGATTTAAATACGCGGTATTCAATAAAAAATTATGGAAGCGCGTTGTTTTCATTGATTGTTGACATTAAATTTGACATGGACACTTAACATTGATTTGACAGTGACGTTGAAAAGAGTAAATTTTTTTTTAATTTTATGACCTGGTAACAGAGACCTTTAGGTCATATTAATCATCATTATTTGAAAGAATAAATAAAACAATAGCCAGCCACAGGAAATAATACTTTAATTAGTGCAAAAAAGGTTGAGAACAGACTTTTCGATCACAGTGTTTTATACAGGTTTCTGTCAATTTCAATCAAAATACAATTTCAGTCGGTAGCCAAGTGGGTTCTTATGTTGCTAAAACTGACCCTCCCCAGGGATAAGGCAGGTTGATCATGACGATGATGATTTAATCATCATGATCAAAATTTGTTATGCCTATCAAGTACTTTGTGAGTTACCAAAGAAATAAATTACGCCAAAGAGGAGAAAAAAAATGTATACTTGAAGAAGTTTTCTCCTAACAGAATCATGAATACGATGAACATTATAAAAAGCAATAAACACTTAAATTTACTTTTATAAAAATTACATTTTGCCAACTTTAAATGTGATTACAAGAATTAAAAATTGTTAAATAAGGAAAAAAATGCGCTTGTGGAAGAAATAAAATTAAAGAACTATTCGTGGCCTCAGTTTCACAAATAGTCCATTTTCGGGTCGCAGAATGAGATCGGATGACAGTTCCGGTTCCAGTTTTGAAGGGAACAATTCAAAATGCCGTATAATCCCGGAGAGGGTAACTTTCATCTCTAAAAAGGCAAACTTCTGACCTGGAAAAAGATGACCATGATTTACATAGTTATTTGTATAAATATGATAAATAACAGATAATATAGGCCTTAGGTCCAGGTTAAGGGCCAGCCCTGTTAACGTTTGTCATTCATAATAATACCGATTTATTTATTATTTAACTAAAATGTTACATGAACACTTTAGTCTAGCCGAGATCGTAAAAGATCTTTTTGGTGTTCTAATATTAAAATTACGTGTTTTTGTCGTATATAAAAAGTTGCATACAGAATGAAACCCGTGGGAACAGCGTAATTAATTAAATTTTAAGTAATAAGAATTTATAATTTTTAAACAAGATAAAATGTAACAAAAAAAACTATGTTTGCATTAATTTTGTAAGTATTCAAATATTAACGAAATAATTAGAATTAAGAATTCTATATTGGATAGTTGCCTTGTCTAAAGTTTTATAACATTCGGATTAGGTACTAGCTACATTTATAGTCACTAACTTATCAGGAAGCGGATTAGGTTGCTATTAGTACTAAATAAATTCAATATACAGGATGTTTGAATAAGACGCGTACTACGGAGAACGAAGGTTGTGCAGTTTTCCGTTGTTTCTTCTTTTCCAGACATCTCGTATATAGTGAAAATAGATCTTACACTTAGAACTTATACTTACCAATACAGTTTCTGGGCCCAGCACTAAAAGCAAGCCAACTGAATGGATTTCTTACAACTGTCGATTCAAATCTTTCAGGTCTAAACTCCATAGGATCTGGGTAAAATTCTTCTAATCTTTGCATATGGTATATGTCTACGATAACTGATGTGTTTTCCTTTAGTTTTAAACCTGCTACCTCTAAAAATACAAAAAAAAAAAGTTTTGTAATGTCATGTTTTTTCTACGTCACTTTTTTCATGTACTTCTTAAATGTATTTTTATACAGAATACCGACCTACATCTTTTGTTATCATCCTTTCTATTAAAGGTACAGAGGGATACAGTCTGAGAGATTCTTTGATGACCTGCTCCAAATATTTCATCTGACCCAATTCACTGAAATTAATTAAATTATTATTTTGCATATGAATTATGGACGATATTTAAATAATACATATTATTTAAAAACAGATGTACCTGTACGTGGCATCCCTATACAAATCGTCTGAGAATATATTTTTTTGTTCATTAAAAAGTTTTTCTTGAATATCTTTGTGTTTTGATATACAGTAGAGCGCGAAGGAAATTCCCGATGTTGTGGTGTCGTGGCCCTAAAATTTAACAAATAATAACCTTATTTTTGAAGTCGGTTAAAAACTGGATTATCAAAACTTTACGTCTCGGTAAACCAGTCCATCTTATGGTGGATTTATACTGCAAAAAACTCGTATATATTATAATATTGTGATCATACTTTTTCAAGGACATGTAAAGCAATGAAAAGATGTTTTTCTTTGAATATATGTAGTAATGGAAACAGTTAGATGCCTCTCAAACTAAGTAGAAATCGATTTATAGTATTCGAGTTAATATTACCTCAAACATAAACGTATCCACTTCTTCCCTTATTAATTCATCGCTGATTTTTCGACCATCGATTTCAGAGAGCAAAAGGAGATCGAGAAACGCATGCTTGTTTTTAATACCTATAAATGTTTTAAAAACATTATTATTTGTCCCTTAAACCGCAGCTATTATAGTGTTATGGTTTAGAGTTAATCATCAGAAAAAACTCTAAATTGTCAACACTTTTTTTATAATAAAAGTCGTTTATTTAGGCTACAAAAGTATGATGAAATTACAAAGTAGTAGTACGCCTGGTTCCTAAACTAGGTTCTAGACCCGTATTATGGGAGCCAGGACTCTTTTGTCTTAGTGCTATAGTTTAAGTAAAAGCTTAGTAAGATTGTGAAATTGCTTGTCTTACTTAAGAAATTACAAAAAAAAAGTAATTTACAATTAAAATAGCTTAATATATGTGCATATAAATATTTGTGCGTGTTTATGTATGTACGTGTGGATTTATATGTTCTTGGGTGTATGTTTCTTAGAGAAAAATTTACTTTGACTGTTATTTCGTCATTTCCCTGCCGATATTTCTATGTAAGATAGGAACAACAGATTTTCGGCTTCAAAATCAATCTGTTTTTCGTTTCAATCGTTAGTTCTTGATCATGTCACCCTCCAAGCAACCTATTCATTTCTTATATATCAGCTAAAGTTTATAGTTGTGTATTAAACTTTACCGATATAAACAGGAAATCAACGGTCACGGAAATAGTTTCTTCTTTGTATTTAATTTCTTGGCAATTAATTAACAATGTATGTAATTAATTTGTTTTTTCTTTACCTATATCTGTGGAACCTGCCAGCGATGTGATGTTGGCTTTCTTAAGTTCCTCTCGCCTTATTTCTATCACCTTCTTGGTGTGCGCGTGAAGAACATTTATAGCTTTGTCTTGTAATTTTCTGTACGCCGACAAATTGAAAACTGTTTCTTCAGCTATAAATGGATTCCGCATTCGAAGAGCAGCGACCGAACTTGCTCTAAAAAAATGTATAGAATTATAAAAAAAGATTTATAGTTGCATTCAATGATGGCCTGTATCCAGCAAAGGCAGCAAAATATGTGTAGTTTTTGAGGTAAGTACAGTCACCTTCGTTCGCGGTGTTCCACCTTAAAAGCGAACATCGCGACGGCTGTACCTGTTGCTATTAGAGGTATGAATCTCCGTCTAGTTGCTAAGCGAACTTATCTTATTTATTTCAAAGTTTTAATTTGAATACTTACTCTGATATTGCCTTTACATATTTAGATTCTTTATCTTTTTGAGCATTGAACGACATTCCCATGATTGACTCTGCAAGAAAAATATTAAGGTAACCAAATAAGTTGCTTTGAAAATATCAGATTGGACAAAATGTTCATACGAATACATAAGATAACTTATGTGAGATCAAAATGACATGGTATTTTTGTAGGTGTTTCGGTAGTGTAAACTCATGGTTCATATAACAAATCATGTGCTGTAATTTACGTATATATTCAAAAATAATTTACCAGTGACATTGTCCAAAGCTGCCAAAGCGATCAAAGGGAATATGTTCACATCAGTGTCTCCGTCCGCAGACATCATTAGATTATCTCGAAGGATCTGTTCATTTTTCCAAAACACAGGTATGAAATTTTGAAGAATATTAAAATGGAATGCTGGTGTCAAGAATTTGCGGTGTGAACGCCATTTTGCACCTAAAATGGATTTTTTAGAGTAAGTGTGGGGTAAAAATTGACAAAACGGTAATATTATTTTTATCTGACCGCTGTAGTTATGGTTTCCAGTGATATCTTCGGACATGGACAGTATAATATAATAATAACATTAGTTTTGAACTTATATAAAAACGGCTAAAACATATACGTACGTCCGCCCGGTGGCGGTTCCGACTAATTTCGAGCCCATCGGGGGCCCTTCACCAACATCAACTAGTCGGTGCCGCCACTGGTCGAAAATACGTGAGTGTTTTAGCCGTTGTTATATAAGTGTATTACAATATCTCACGAAAGTTTGAACATTAGTTTTGGTTTGAATAGTTCCAAAATCCTTTAAAAATGTCAATACACTATGTTACTAGAACAAGAATAGTACGAATGGAATAAAATTAAATCGTGACTCATTATAATACTAATTTTATTTACCTGTAGATGTAAGAAGGCCATCGCCAAGCCAAGCTCTTAAAAACGAGTAGGATCGACCTTTTGTTATGATTTCAGAGTGTGACACTATCCCCTGCGAGATAATAATAATAAAAAAAAATGTTATATGTGGTACGTAACACATCTATTTGAATTGCAGGTGACAATTTGCATTCTGTGCGTTAGAGTACGGGCTATTTTCGATGTATGAGAGAGCTTTAGCTTTTTTAGAACTATAAATTTAGATAATTTACCAAGTCTATCTACTTACTATATACATTATTGCTAGTCATTGCTTTTGTCTTGCATTCTATATATAATACATTTATTCTACGTATGTACGGAGTAGAAATTTATTGCATCAATGATTTTTTTTAGACGACCTTGAGGATACTCCGAGCATGCTATCTTTATTGTTACTCGTATGTCGTTATAATTGTACAGTTCATGACAATAAAAAACAATAAGTATAAAAATGTTAACTTACATCGCATGGTTGCTATTTTTGTTGCAAACAACACATGCATTTTATTGCTTATTCCCACGTAAGGTCGTAACTTGTTTTTTGAACATTTTTTTTTGCTTTTCGCACAGTACTAAACGTTTTTATATTTCTGATATCAAAACAAATCTTGTTAAAACAAGAGATTTTGAGTACTTTTATTTGACTAAAGAATGTATAGCGTGTTGCTAAAATAAATACTAACTTCAATGTATTTTGGATGAAACAATATAATGTATCGGCTCGAAAAGAGATGGACACGGACTGCTTCTCCAAAGCGTTGCTGGAAGCGATGCAGTAGATTCAAAAACTCTGTAACAAACAAAACAATTGTATAGACTTTAGTAATATCAGTAGTGGAGTTAGGGTAGAACCAGGTACCGACCGACCGGTCAGGGCGCTGGGCATAAGAGGGGCGCCGCAGGCGCCAGATCTGGATATGAAGAGGCGCCCGCGGTGCCCACTAATACACCTTTAAGTTATCTTTGGAAAATTTCCCCTAACACCAAAAAGAAAGGGGGCGCCGAGAAATTTCGTCCAGGGCGCCAGAAATGCTTAAACCGGCCCTGGGCATCAGCAGACAGGGTTTACCTAGTAAAATCTATTTGAGATGGACGACAAAAAGTAGAAACAATAACAAACTTTCTTTATTGAAATGTTGAAAATATGCAAAATAATACTTATGGATACCTCAATAAAATCGTGACTTGCATAAAATAATAGCAAAACAGCTGTATTTATTACTGAAATAAAGAAACAAGTTTTTAGTTCAAGACAGAGTCCAAGTTCCAACATGTGAACTTAAATTTTGTTTTCTTTTAAAAAAAATTATGGACCTGAATAAACTAGTAATACTATAAATCTTATTTTATTCTTCTAAAATAGTCTAAGATTGATTTCTTTATTTATATTTTCTTATAAATAGTAGTGAATATTTTTTAAATCTACAACATTCTGATGTAAATTAGTAGTCCTTACTCCTGAAGGAGTTCACCTTGTATTAAATTGTAAGAAAAACTGATTATAAAATTAACGTATACATTTTATAAAACGAGTTTCTTTTTATGGTAAATTGACACGCCTGAGTTATTCTTTGCCAAATGTTTTGCATAAATAAAACAAAAGCTTTGTGTAAGAATATTTGTACAGGGATTTAAATAAAAAACCCTTGTTTGCAGAAAAATGTGTTAATATTGTAGAACATGAATAACAGAAGACCTAGAAAAACTGATTTGACATTACTAAATTCAAAAGTTTAATTTCTTCTTTTTTCATTGATTTAATGGCTGCTAAAGCGTAAAAACTCCTTGAACATACCGGCCACCAAAGACTATTTTAGTCTTTAAAATCCTTAAAGACCGGCCACCGTGAGGGAATTTCTAAATATTTTTAGGCAAAATGATTTCAGCAACTGTCGTTTTAACATCGTGTTCTCTTTTCACTATACTGTCACGACTCGCACTAACTGGCCTGTGTGTAGCTGCATTATTCGACCAAGTAGCCATTTCGTTGGTGAAATATTCTCCTCTTCTATTGTATCATAATCCACTATCCCGTCGCCGATGGTGTGTTCTCTAGTGTTCTGTTCAAATCTTCTTGAATTTGGTGAATAGTTTCTAAAACACTAGATGTAAATGTTCCTCTTTGTTGTTACTATATTCTGCTGTAAAATGTGTTACTTTCTAACCGATAAAATCTGTGTTGTTCCTTCGTGTATTCTCAAACTCTAATAAACTTCTTTTAAATGTTGCAATAATTTCATTCTGATTTCATCTCCTTATATGTGTTGTTTTAAATTTGCTATTTCTGCTATAAGTTTGATGACATTTGCGTGAGTCATTACAAACGTGTTCTTTAATTTCTTTACTGCTCCGATGAAGTTTGTATCGTTATCTCTCCTTATATTCTTAAAATAACCTCTTCGGACCTTCTTATTTAACTGCGAACCTCCATGTTCTGTTTTGAGATGTGCATCTTTTATTATCAACTTCACGATGTGTCTTATTCGGTTTAATAACAGGGTGTGTAAAATCATCTGACAAACTGGCCTCATTCAACCTGCCTCCTAATCTCAATATGCCATCTCTATTTCTCTAACAAATGGATCTTCAGTTTTCAGTTTACATATCCTTAATAAATTATGTAATTGTTCTCTTCTATCTGCAAATCAGTGTTGTTCTAATTCTTCTTAAAATCTGATTTCAGACCATTATTTCTTTGATAGCGGTGTATTTTGTTTCATTTTGTTGTAATACTTATCTCTATTCTTAGTCAATTGATTAACTTAAACTTACAAATGTTCATATCATCTCAATTGAAAATCAGCAACTCCTTTGTATAACTAAATATAAATATAGCTGTGCTTACTTAAGAATCCAAAACAGTTGATTGACTCGAATGAGTGTGTACATCTAACGAAATGTTACTTTACTAATATGATATGGAAACTCAGCTAAGTGAAGTGGACTTTCTCATGAAAATTGTAATCTTTTCATCTCACTGTCTCTAATCTTAAATTGTTGAATATCTTCTGCGTTTGAAAACTACTCATAGAATCCTCCTTAAAAGAAGGGTTATTGTTGCATTGCCAAATGTTGACTTACTTGTATTATTCTAAAGCTTGCTCTTGTTCATCGCGTCAAGCGATGCTTCTTAATTTGTATTCTACTTCGATCTCAATCCAACTGTCAGTTTGTATGATATCTCCTATTACTAATCTTGTTTGATCCCCGACTATCAAGTGCATAAGTGTTTCTCTTGCGAATCTCTCTACTGATCTCTTACGTTGATGTGTCTGTATGCTCTTATTCATTGAATGATGTAAAAATAACCAAACAGTTGTGTTTTCTCATTTGCCCTTTTCCGCGTAGTCTAAACTTAAATATTCTATGATACCAATCTCTACCTTTAGGGTATGTGAATTTGTAAATACTTTACCAAATATTCAAATCTTCGAACGACTTGATGTTGTATACTTCTCTTCTAGAAATTGTTTAAAACGATCTTACTGCATAAGTTCAGTTCTCTTCTCTTCTCATTGTAGCCTTGTATATTATTTCCTTCATTTTTGTTAATATTCCCGTAGTGTTTCTTAAGTCTCATTCTGTCTACGAAAACTTCTGCAATAAACCTTATCTTACTTATGTGTATCTATACTACTCTCACAAAACTCCTTAATATAATGTTGTCTAATGTACTGCTAATATGTTGTGATTTGCTTATATTGTATGTGCACTTTTATCTGTGTTGCTCTCTCTCTCTCTCTCGCTTTCTCTCTCTTTCGCTTTCTCTATGTCATGCTTGTTTTACCTGTATATCACTCGATAGACTCATTCCATACGAGTGAACTCTGCCTGTCTCCTTGTTTAATATACCATAATTGTATGACCTCAGTCCTCAGCTTAAAGTTATGGTACCTCACTTATGAAGAAACAGGTGGACCCTTTATTCCACATTATGGAAAAGGGCTGTTAAGGCAAAACAACGCACTGACATCTAGGTGTAAGGTTGTATATTGCGTCTTACCGCACTCTTAACTCCTCTTACCTTCACCTATGTTTGCTACCTCGTTTTGTCATCAATACTTTTTACCGAGTCTAACCTCTCGGTAATGAACGAGGTCTGTGTGTCCTGGTCATGGAGAGCGCTAA